AATGATATCTCCGATAAAGCATTCTCTACCATTTTAACCTACATAATAATCTCTTCAGATCTAAAAAACCATAAAAATATAAACTCTACAACATCCCAACAACACTTTCAAGTCCTATCTTCCACAGATTAATTTCCTTCCTAAATTATTGATTTCCTTTCAACTTCAAGCAATTAGAAATATTGATATTCAATGGTTTACTCTCACCATCTTTTGTAGAATTATAGTTGCGGTTCAATTATTGCCATTTTTTATAGAATTATAGTTGTGACTCTGTTCTCACCATCTTATCCAGAGTTACAACGATTAATTCTCACCACATCATCTTCTCTAGAGTTCAAGGTAATACAAATCTGTCGTTTTTCTTTTGTTCAAGTACTGATCAACAATTCTTGTATTCAATTAGTTTGGGTTAAACAACAATCACTTGTTATTTATTTCTTCTATGCACATATACTAGTTTTTTTTACTGTATTTCGTATCCAGACGGTGGAGCATCAGGGAGAGGACTGGAAAATTTTTATGTGCAGTAAATATCTAGGAGAGAGTTTTTAGAGACTTGTTTTTAAATAAGTAAATATCTGAAAGAAAGTTTTAGAAACTAAATTTAATCATAAATTATAATACATTTAAAACTACAGTATATATTAAGGATCATTTAAAACATCAAATTATAATGTTTTCTTTTAATTTTGAATTATTTTTATTATTAATTTTTTCGTAGATTGCTATATGTGCATGTAATATACGTGCTATGTATGTGTCAAAATAAATAGACCGAGAATAACTAGGCATGAACACGCACTAATGGTATCTCCGATAAAGCATTCTCTACCATTTTAACCTGCAAAATAATCTCTTCAGATATCAAAAAGCATAAGAATATGAACTCTACAACATCCCAACAACACTTTCAAGCCCTATCTTCCACGAATTAATTTCCTTCCTAAATTATTGATTTCCTTTCAACTTCAAGCAAGTAGAAATATTGATATTGAATGATTCAGTCTCACCATCTCTTGTAGAATTACAGTTGTGGTTCAGTTATCACCATTTTTGCCAGCTCTGTTATCACCATACAATAATTAATTCTCACCTCACCATCTCTCTAGAGTTAAAGGTAATACAAATCTGTTGTTTACTTTTTGTTCAAGTACTAATCAACAATTCTTCTATTCAATTAGTTTGGTTAAACAACAATCACTTAAAATCATTATAATAGTCATGAAATTCTTGTTAAAAACTATTAGTATTATAGTAATTTAAGAATATTTATTAACTTTGGGGTAACCTTTTAACGTATTTATTTTTTATTGGTTAAGAAAATCTTTTTGTAATATTTGGATTTTAACTATTATTTCAAATTTTAGTGGGGCTAATATGTTTTTTAAAAGTAAAATTTTTAGTAATTTTATTTTAGATTATTTTAAAATCCTATATAACGGGGATTTGAAAAAAAAAAATGAGTAGATGGATGAGTAGAGATAATCCTATAATTTTTTTTATTTCGTATCTAAAGGGTGGAGCATCAGGGAGAGGATTGGAAAAATTTTATAAACAGTAAATATCTAGGAGAGAGTTTTTAGAGACTAGATTTTATATAGGTAAATATCTGGAAGAAAGTTTTAGAAACTAAATTTAATCATAAATTATAATACTTTTAAAACTACAATATATATTAAGAATCTCATTTAAAACATCAGTTAGAAGATTGTTGAAGAAAAGGCTAACAGAACAAAATGCAGAAGCTATCCAAAAAGCTTAGGGAAGGAAAACTCTCTGTCATTTTCGGAAAAAAAAGTAAAACTCTGTATATTGTTATATGTGCACATAATACACGTGTTATGTAGATGGCAAATTGCTATATGTGCATGTAATACACGTGTTATGTAATACACGTGTGTAAACAGAATATGAACACGTGTAAATTGTTATATAGGCACATAATACACGTATTATGTAGATTGCTATATGTGCTTGTAATACACGCGTTAGGTAGATTATAGATTACTATACGTGCATGTAATACACGTGTTATGTATGTAAACGGAAATATGAACACGTGCATTCTCTACCATTTTGAGTTAATTAATCTCCATTAGATGGAGAGATGGACACGTATCCAATTCCTTTCCCAATCTTCTGCCGATTGATTTCCTTCCTAACTTATTGATTTCAGGTGGTTCAATCTCAGCATCTCTTGAAGAATTACAGTTGTGATTCAGTTCTCGACATTTTCTCCAAAGTTACAATTGTAGCTCGATTCACACTATCTTCTCTAGAGTTAGCAGCGGTTAATTCTCTATCTTCTCTAGAGTTCCAGGTAATACAAATATGTTGTTTACCTTTGTTTCTTATTTCTAGTACTAATCAACAATTCTTCTATGTAATTAGTCTGGGTTAAACAACAATCACTTAAAAACATTATAATAATCATCAAATTCTTGTTAAACACTAGTATTATAGTGTTTTATATATATATATTTATATATTTATTTATTTGTAGTTCCTACTCCGGTACTCCATTTTTATTTTATATTTTAGTGTTAGGTAAACTAAAACTAATTTTGAAAAAAAAAAATTTTTTTATTTTATATTTTAGTGTTAGGTAAACTAAAACTAATTTTGAAAAAAAAAAATACCTTAATTATCAGCATGAATATGATATAGTAGTCGTCATTCACATAGATCATGATCACAAATAGGATGATCTAAATATTTAATGCATAGAATGACTGAAAACAAATAGGATGATCTAAATATTTAATGCATAGAATGACTAAAAATATGGGATTATTTTGATATACAGTTGAATTAAGTACATTTTTAGTTAATTAATGTCCTTGGGAATTTTATTTTTTTCTCAATTGCAAAAGATATATAAGATAAAAGGAGTAAATTCCATTCCTAGAAATTGGAAAATTATTTTTATACAGTCCTAGAAATTGGAAAATTACTTTTAGATCATCCTATTTAAAGGATTGACGTAATGAAGGCAATGACTACGATCACATTCATGCATTCATGCATTACGTGTTGTCGATGCATGACAGATATTATAGTTGATTTATGTGGATTTATTAGAAAGTAAACAAATAAGTAGATTAAATAAAATTTATAATAGAAGGCAAAATAAAACGTTCTTCCCGAATTTTCTCTGCCACCAATTTACTGTTCTAACGTTTTTTAATTTGACGTTTTCCAAATTTGATAGACCGTGGTGAAAAACTAATAAATAAAAAATAAAATAAAATTAATCTCTTGAGTGTGCTCAAGAGGCATTGTGATGAAAGTTGAAGAAGTTATTACAATATATAGCTATTAAAGGTATACAGTTGTACATTGTAATAACTTTCTCCATACCAAGACTATACGTTATGCCATCTGTCACAATTTATATAAATTATATAATTGTGTACATGGCATAACATGCATCCGGTAGATGTATCATGATACTTATTTTTTGGGTCCCATTACATGCATCCAATTGAAGTAGTATATCTCTAAACTCTAAACTGTATACTACTTTGTATATGGTAGAAACTGTAATAGCATAAAATTACTATATACGAGTATTATATAATATGTTTTATAATACAATATAATTTACTATATAATATAAAAACTATACGAATAGCAATGGGTGGGTTGGACAGTGGGACCCAAGCCAAAGCAGTGAAACGTGGGGTGATTTTGAATAATAATGAGATATAATTTTTTTTTTTTAACAAAAATCTTGTTGTCCACATTAATTTGAAATTAAGGCCTAATGTGATAATTTTTGCTAGAAATTGTAACGAGAAACATGTAAAGTCATATATATTAACATGTTTATCATGCAAAAAGTTGGAATGTAGTGTCAATCTGGTGAAGGCTGTATATATATATATAGATAACATGTTTTCTTTGGAATTGTAGATAAAAATATTAAAAAATAATGGTATATTGTAAGACTGATTTTTCTATGAATAAGGCCTTGTTAAAATGGTTGCTCAAGTGTTAATTAATATAATATGGATACAGATGGAAAGGAAATGGTACGCGTAAAGACATTAGAAGAAGATTTGTTGCTTCAGTAGCTGTCAACGCTAATTAATCTTCAAATAAAGTGAAGGTATTTAATTGTATTTATCTTGTTGTTTTGTTATTAACAATGGTTTTTCATAGTCTCGTAGAATTGAAGTAGCACTATTCCCTTCTTGTTTTCTTTTAGCTGTTTTCTTTTGTTTTTCAGTGAATAGAAAAAATTCCAAATAAAATATTACGTATAGCTATCTAGTACTTTTTTCTTTTCTTTTTTTTTGGATAGTTAAATAATCATCTAGTACTACTTTAGGCTTCGATTGGATTGATGAAATGAAATGGAAAAGATAAAATAGGAGCAATAGTGATTTTTATGTTTAGGTGTGTTCGTTTATCCATTAAAATCTTAGAATTGAAATAGTTATTATTTTTATTAAAAAAAAACTGATAATACCTAATAGTGATCTTGAAAATAATCTTTATATATATATATATATATAGAATAATTTTAAATTAAAAAAAATTAAAAAGACATTTGGATTTATTTTAACATTTGTTCATTTAAAAAATATATGTAAAAGATATTTTTATGCATCTAATTTAAATAAAGAAATAGCATAGGGTGGTAGGGCCCAGCTGAATCAATTGCAGTTAAGAATTAATACCTAAATTCCGGCAGTAGATTGCTTTATGAATTTAATTCCATACTTTATTGATGATAATGACAAACTAAGTCGTCTTACTGTTTTTTTTTTTTTTAACTATCTTTCACGTATAACTTAATGTCATCTTAGTTGGACTTCTCTTTCTTGTGACACATTTTGAATATATTATATATGAATGACTTTCGATATGAATTGATGTGAAATTTACTCTCTCTCTTCCCATCAATATTCTATTTCTGACTGGAATTTAGATTCTTTAATAATGGAATAATAGCCTGTGATATTATCATGTTTATCATGCAACAAGTTGGAATGTATTGTGTGTGTATATATATATATATATAGCAAATATAATATATGAATATAATTTCCCTTGTAAATTATATTCATATATTATATTTACTTTTCTTTTCGCAATTAAGAATTTCGTGAAAATAAAACATATATCTCTATTTAAATCAGAGTCAATAAAACTTACAACCAAAAGCATGACCTTCCCCAAAAAAAAAAATCATACAACTAAAACCTGCACAAAAACAAAAAGTGGCTCTAAGAAAATCTATCTTCTTTCTATATTAAAGAGTTAACTCAACTATTCATTTATCTATCCCTATTTTTACAATTGTCAGATTTGATTTTAAAAAGGTAAAAAAATAATCAGTGCACTAGTTAGAGTCCCTCTCAAAAAGTTTTAATCTATTGTCACCCAACCTAGACTTTGAAAAGGATTTCTTATATTCCGACCAGGTGAAATCCTTGTAAAGACCTTCCTCTCCCTCTTCCATTATTGAAGGTAAAGGTGCAAGTTTTTGTGTCAACGGCGGTGCTCCAAAATAAATCATAGACATTCTTGATTTTGAATTGTCACACAAAACTCTGTGTCTGACGCTCTTGAACCTCCCATTAGTCATCGCCTGCACCAAACCCACACCCCAAATTAATAATAAAAGTTTTTTACAGATATATATATATATATATATATATATATATATATATATATATATATATGCGTGCGTGTGTTTATTTGAACTTAGTTTACTTCTGTCTTCTTCTTATGTTATATATATATGTTTATTAGAAATTTTAACATAGATAAAATAAGTAAAAAGTGAAATACCTCATTAAAAAAAAAAAAAAAGTAAACAGAGCAAAGTTGTAAAATTTTAACATAAATAAATATATATATATATACACGTTTAAAAAATAAAAAAATATATAAACACTCAAAATTTAATACACGTTTAAAAAATAAAAAAATATAGAAACACTCAAAATTTAATACACGTTTATATATAAAGTTGTAAAATAAAAAAAGAAGAAGAAGGCAGAAGTAATTAAACAGAGCAAAGTTGTATTTTATGTGTGTTTATTTGAACTTATATATATGTGTGTATGTGTGTGTTGATTCGAACTTTTAATTTTAGAACTTTGCTCTGTTTACTTCTGTCTTCTTCTTATGTTTATATATATATATGTGTGTGTGTTTATTTGAACTTTTAAAATAGATAAAATAAGTAAAAAGTGAAATACCTGATTAAAAAAAAAAAAAAAAAAAAAAGTAAACAGAGCAAAGTTGTAAATTTTAAACATAAATAAATAAATATATATATATACACGTTTAAAAAATAAAAAATATATATAAACACTCAAAATTTAATACACGTGTATATATAAAGTTGTAAAATAAAAAAGAATTAGAATAAGAAGAAGAAGACAGAAGTAATTAAACAGAGCAAAGTTGTATTTTACCTGCAAGGCATCGCCTACATTGACAAAAAAGGAGTAAGGATCAGGTGGGACGGAGACCCATGTCCCATCACTGAGAGCAATCTGAAGGCCAGATGTATTATTTGATCTTAAGGCCGATATGATTTGGGGGTCGGTATGTTCCCCAAAACCCATATAAGTTTTGTTACCGAATGCTTGGAGTTCAGGACATGGAGGATAGTGATTTATTCTGAATACGGAATCACTGCTGTCGTCTCTCAACAGCTTGCTCAAAACATTCCTCGGTCCAATCTTTAAAGCATCGGCGATTAGTTCCAATACTTCAAAACACATATTCTTCACAGCAGATACATAATCATTCATAGCCGACCTAGTATAAACAGAGCAATAATACATGAGTAATTTAGTATTTTTAAGAAACAAAGAATACAAACACTTTGTATAGAATTCTTACCAGAATGTTTCGGAGTTTTTTGATAAGATGGAATGAGGTCTCTGGGAAAGGAAATCTGGGTTGGTGCTGAAGAGGAGGTACTCAAGCCAACCTATATCTCCACTTTGTCCGATTCTCTTGTTACCATATTCAGGGCCAACTTTTTCTTTCTCTGCTTGGTCCAACTCGAAAAACTTGACAGCTTCCACTTCTAATCTGTTCATATACTCGGTACACACGCCATGATTGGTTAGCTTGAAGAAACCAAATTGTTGACAGGCATCAACAATTTGATATTTTGAATCTTGACTTTCAAGGTTTATCACTGGAATTCCAGTGAATTTGTTTGGGTAGGGCATACATGTTTTGACAATAGCAAGATTTTCGAACGAGGATTTTGATAAGATCATCATATTTTCTAGAGAGAAAAAGAGTTTTTGATGTTTGAGAAAGACCGTTTTTGGTGTTTGAGAGGGAGAGAGCGAGTTTTTGCAGGGGAATGGAGGAGAGTTTGGGAGTTGGTGGAATAAATGGGAATTAGCAAGCATGACGTGCGCAGGCGTTACAATATGAGGTGAGGACATCTGGCTTTCCGTCTGTGCTGTAGTTTGGAAGAAATTACCTATTTTTTCTAATTCTATGAAAAATAAAAAATAATAATGGGACACATTAATTAGCAATTAGTAATTAAGATGCATGTCATCTCATTATAAAAATGTGTCCCATTGTTTTGATTTTTTCTTTTATTTATTTATTATTATTTAACATAGAAATGAATTGAAAAAAATAAATAATTTTTCTTAAAATCTTACCGGCGCATATGGGAAAAGTTAGTAAGAACTCTCATTCATTGTCAAAAATCTTGCTATTGCCAAAACATGTATGCAGTACCCAAACTCAATTCACTGGACCACGAGGCCAAAAATCAAATAGGTCAACAGTTTGGTTTCTTTAAACTAACCAGTCATGGCGTATGCCAATGCCCCTAATTGTGATTTTAAAGTCAAGGAGTTTGACAAAATTTTTAAACCAATTGCTTTTAATTAGTCAATGCATGCTTAAATATAAGAAAGTAAAATTCTTCACTTTCTTATCCCATGCATTAATGACCAATCAAAAGATTATGTCGCTACTCTTTTTAAAATTGTACAAATAGTTGTATTTTGTTAATTTGAAGACTGAAATATTTAAAATACTCACCATCACCACCCTCAAAATTATAAGGGTGAAATAATTATACTTTCTCAATTTGTAGACTAAAATATTTAAAATGCTCACCACCACCACCTCATAATTACGAGGGGTGGGGGTACCAATTGATATTTCTACCACTAATTTTTTTAAAAAAATAATGCAAAATTAATATATAAGAAATAGATGCTAGTTTATGTTGGATAATAAGAATTGTGGAAGTCTCTTTCTTATCCCATGCATTAATGACCAATCAAAAGATTATGTCGCTACTCTTTTTAAAATTGTACAAATAGTTGTATTTTGTTAATTTGAAGACTGAAATATTTAAAATACTCACCATCACCACCCTCAAAATTATAAGGGTGAAATAATTATACTTTCTCAATTTGTAGACTAAAATATTTAAAATGCTCACCACCACCACCTCATAATTACGAGGGGTGGGGGTACCAATTGATATTTCTACCACTAATTTTTTTAAAAAAATAATGCAAAATTAATATATAAGAAATAGATGCTAGTTTATGTTGGATAATAAGAATTGTGGAAGTCTTCCTTGGGTTCAAATTTACTTTTACTATCTTTCTACTGCATTATTGTTGTTAAAGTGTGAAGCACTTTTCTAAAGAATTACAAAATTAATAACTTTTGTAGATACTTAGAATTTTCTAAACATTGACATGTGACCTTTTTGTAGTAAAAAAATTAGAATATCTATAAGAGAATAAATACATAAAAAAATATATATAGAAAATGTGAAGTGTTGGTAGTGTACTGTAAATCCCACGATAACACTGAATTTTCCTTGAACCACCGTTAATGTGTTAACATAGTACTAGTATATTTTTTTTCCAATCACAAACTATAACTTTTTTCAAAGAATGTTACTCATATATATGGCTCATATAGACATCCGTCGTGAACCTTTAAAAAAAAAAAAATAAATGTTTAATTCATCAAACATCTTTAACTTTAATGTTGTGTTGTGCTTACGACACAATATGATTATTTTAATTTTGTTGAGTGACGACCCGGTCAAAAGTTGAGTGACGACCCGGTCAAAAGTACGTATAGTTAAAAAAGAGTCACGATTTTAAGATTGCATAGAGTCACGATTTTAAGATTGCATAGTGGTGACGTGTAAAATATATATAAAGAGAGACGTTATGATTTTAAAATTACAACTTGATAAAAAATACGTACATTGTGTCATGATTTTCACTCTCACAATACTATACTTTTGCTTATAGCTTGAAGAAATCTTAAAAATTTAAATATTTTGAGATTTATATAATCTTTTGTTTTTTTTTTTGACTTTTCAAATCGGGTTTGAATTTTGAAACACTCAAAATTTAATAGAAAAAGAAAGGGAGAAGTATGTTAATGATATAGAGGGTGTGGAAACTTGAATTCTATCAAACTCAACTTTACTAAAATATTAATTGGACCTTACAACTTTCGTTGAAATAAATCCTGAATATTGATACAACCCTATTGTTTTTTACGAATTAATTGATTGGTTTTTCAATAAATTTAATTTTATTAATATTTTCTTTTTATAAAAAAAATAGCACAAACCTCAATAAATTATAAAAAAATAAAAAGAAATCTAAACATGATTTAAAAATTTTGACCTAAGAAGATTGATTTTTGCTAAAGGAAGTGTATTTTCCATGCGAGAAATGTTTAAGAGGATAATTACTTCAATAAATTCTAAACATTACCAATTTAAATAGGTGCTAATAGAAAATATCAATCACGTCACAACGATCAACCTGACAACATCCAAACCATAATGTTAGGGTAAATTAGTAAATTTCTATCCTCGGTTCATTAAGAGAAATCATTTCATACTAATCTTCAACCACAAAAAATATATATATCGAAATATGAACACGGGTTTTTACTAATTTTGCCACTAAAAAAATGTACTCTCAAGCGCTGGGAGAATTCTCATTCGGGTTACATAAAATTAAAATTTTAAAATTGAAATTAGTGGAATTAAAATAAAGTAATTTAAAATATTGAACTAAAATTTTATTTAATTCCAAATCTTCAATCTCACGTAGCCGAACACAACAAAAAAAAATAAAGTAGAAGTATGTAGAGTGCAGAGAGGGTTGGAGAACTCTAGTGGGTAGGGTAAAAAATCTGTAAGCATTTGATTTTCTTCTAGAGGCAGTTTTTATTGATTAGAATTCAGTTAAATCATCCCAGAAGATGACTATGTACGCATGAATTTCTATTTGTAACATAAAGTAGAAATAATTTTTTAAAATCTATCGATGAAAATGTGAGAGAAAGGACAATAAGCTGTGTGATATTATGTTATCTAAACTTTGTTTATGGTGTCTCAACACTAGTGCAACCATACGCGCCTACAACAATCAACCATCGTCAATGTAACGGAAATAGATTAAGCGGCTATTAACCCTATTTCTTATACCTATTTCTTGTATTCTCTTTCGTTCCATTATTTATCGACAATATTTTTGTATTTCTCATTTCTTTAACGTTACAACTTTATCAATATCAATAGTGCTTTTATCTTTTCTCTTTCTTCCAACTACTTAGAGCCTTGCAAATTCGGATTGTGTTAAAAAAAGAAAACTTTACATCTGAATTATATTATCTAATATTTTTTCAGAACGGTGTAATACTTTGTAATTTTAAAAGTTATTTAAAGAGATTTTTATTTCATTTTAATTGATTTATTTTGGTATTATTTAGATGAATGCCTATTATTAATTAATTTGGTGATTTTATAAATATGTGTAAAATTAATTAATTGTTTTTTTAATTATGTGATGTGAGTGCTTTGTGACTATCGTGTTTAATGTGATTTGTTGGGTGTCTATTTGTTATGATAATCTTTATTAATTATTAAGAATATAGTATCTACATGTAGAGAGGAAATGGTACGCGTAAAGGCTCTAGAAAAAATCTTCTGGCAAACATCCAACAAAAAAAAATAAATAAATAAAAATAAAAATAAAAAAATAAATCCTATGGAAGCTTCAGTAGCTGGCACCACCAATTAATCCTCAAAAAAAGTGAAGGTATTTGTTGTTTTTGTTAATAACAATGATTTTCATTGCCTCATAGAATTGAATTAGCACTATTCTCTTCTTGTTTTCTTTTAGCTGTTTTCTTTTGTTTTTCAGCGATTAGAAAAAAAATCCAATAAAAAAAGATGATCCATAATCATCTACCATGCACTTATTTAGGCTCCGTTTAGATTTAATGAAGGATAAGACTTGTGTCTCTTGACCAAATGGGGAGTTTTACAAAAATACCTTGATGTGCATTGTAAAGGTGGTAATTGGATGGGTTTTGAACTCATCATGAATGAACGAGGTTAGTAATACACTATTAACTCATTTATAATGGATGAGAAGAAGATTGGATGTTAAATGAGCTCATTGGTTAGCCTAGTATGCTATGAGAGTTAAAGAGTCAATCTGTTTTATTTCATCTTTTCCACCCTCCTTGATGGACATTGTGAAACTAGAATATATTGATTGATTGTGCTTTATGCTAATAAAATTTTCTTGTCTTGAAAAAAAAATAATAATAAAAAAAAAAGGCTAGTTAATATACACCCAACTCAATTATCAAATATTTTTAGATACAAATTATCAAATTATTTTAATTATTAAATACCAAAATATATATATATAATATTTATATATTAAATTTATTAATTTTTTTGGTCTCACTCGTTGCAATATCTTTTCCTTTTATTTTTTAATTATTTTTTAATTTTTTATTTTATTGAAAATTTTTTAATATACAACCTTTTTTTTTTTTTTTTTTGAATGACGATGAACTTATACACTTACTTTAAGAATGAGTTATCACTGTCCAAAATAAAAAAGAAGAGGAGAGAGAACGGAGGAGAGAAGAGATAGAAACGGGGAAGAGAGAATAGGAGGAGAAAGAGACAAGGGAGAAGAGATAGAATGGGAGAATTAAAAATAAAAAAATAAAAAAAAAAAAATAACCTGAGGAGACAGAAACGAGAGAAGAGAGAGAATGTGGGAAGAAATAAAAATAAGAATAGAGAGAGACAGAAACAAAAGATATTAGAATACCTACACTTTTAATAATAATAAAAAATTATTATTATTATTATTATAATTGTTGGAAAAAAAATTGTTTTTACATTAATTTTTTGATTTCAAGGGTTATAATTTTTTTTTTCTTTTTTATATTACAT